TTGAATTGGGAGGCTGCAGTGGAGGCTAGCTGTACCCCACAGGCAATGGTAATGACTCCCATCCATCTTCAAAGCATCCTTCACTGACTGGCTGAAGGAGAAGCATCAGCTGCTGTGAGTGAAGGGCAGCGTGAGGGCACTGTAACTCCATGTGGCCTTCATCCAGGCAGGCAGCAACTCCATGAGCAGGTGCTGCCAGAAGAAGCCCTGATACGAATTCATTTGTTGCCTTGCTGTGGGGCAGACTCGTCTCTGATGGTGGCTTCCCTCTTGGTTTTAGTGCTGAAAACTTGGTCCTTTGGCCTGTACACAGCCTCTTAGGGGGCTGCAAAATCTGTAGCAAAAGGTTGGAAGCAAGCAAATATCAGTCCTGTCTGACATGAAGGGGTTGAGGAATCATATCTCAACCCCTCTCCCTGCAGCTGTGATCAGTCAGGTCTAAGCCTGGAGCAGGCATGATGTGCCCTCCTTGGCTGCTGGTTCGGGTTTGGCATGTCCTTTTGGGCCTGTCCCAGCTGTAACCGGTGGCCTGGACTATGTCAGCCTGGCTTTACTTAGCACAGGACTCCTGTCTGCTCCTCTAGCAACCTGTCCTCTAGGGAGAAAAGGTGTATAATGGATTTGGGGGAATGATAGAGATGGGAGTTTTGCTCAGTGACTTCAATTTTGTGTGTTTAAGCAACCTCCATCTCATTGTAGGGATGCTTGTAGTGGGCTCAGGAGGAGGTTGGAGACCAGCTATCCCTGCCATTATCGAGGCTGGGCTCTGGCATCCTGGTTGTACATAGGTCTGTCTGTTACTCTGATGGAAGCTCCTGAGACTTCATCCTCCACACAGCACAGTCTTGTCTGGGAACCTCTTGGTGGTGATGAAGCTTGTTCAGCTCTGCCTGATTCTGGCAAGAGCACTTTTTAACCTCAGGTATGTGTTTTACTTACTATCCCTCATTGTTGGAGGCCAGCCAGGAAGCCCTTTTCTCTCTCTGCTCTCTCATGCCCTGGCCACCTGCCCTTGCACTGACCAAAGGAGAGCACGGCAGCCTTGCTTGCTCCGGCTGGCGACAGACCTGTCCCTGTGCTGGGGGACAGAGCTGGCTGCCACCTGTGTCACATGTGGCAGGAGTTGCTTCTTGCTCAGCGCCCTCCCTCTCTGCCTTTGGAGTCACACCATTGAGCACGTGGGGGTTTACCAAGGGACGATTTGGGTGGCGGTGGAGTGATACGTTCAAACTCGGAACCATACCATTGCTAAAGTTGATGTGTATATGATGTATGATGTGTATATTAACAACTACATGCTTAAGCCAGGGTTTCCACATGCCTTCAGAGGGGCAGTAATTTTGAACCCCTCCCTCAGTGTGTTCTGGAAGCCTCGGGTTGGCAGAAGAGCTTCTCCGGCTGGCTGTGCTTGGGCCGGATGCCCTGCATCCAAAGGAACTGAGGCACGGCTGTGTGCCGAGCGTGCCTGCGCTGGCTGAACATGCCCATAGAAGGACTGAACCGGGGACGGTGGAGCCGAGTCTGGTGTCCAGGAAGTCTGCGTGTGCTTCCGGCTCCGGAGGCTGCAGTGCTGCCGAGTGTTTCCCGGTTGGCTCAGGGAGCACTGAGGTCAATCTGCTGCTTGTGCAGATAGCAGGGACGGTTGGACCTGACGGCACCCCGCAGCCAGCTGAGACAGCTGGAGTGTGGCGGGGGGGATCATCCCCTCTAGCACCTACCAGATTGGGCACAGTATCTTGGGCCAGAAAGCCACTTCTTTCTAGCCTGTGCTGAGGCATTGCAGCTGCTGTGCGGGGGGCAGGTTGTGGGGTGCCTGTGGGGCGCACGTGTGCCCCCGGGAACAGCGTGTTCTTGCCAAGCCTCTGTGAAGCGGCACTTAGGATTCACTCCTGTTGTGCTCATCTTGCCCTGGAAGCATGTGCCAATCTCCCAAGGAACACTCACGGGGCTTGTCAAGGCATGAGGGTTTCTGCTTGGTTGGTTTGAGGGTTATTTTTGGCTTTATATTTGTGCCCTAGGCTAAATGAACGAGGGCTTATTTGGGAAAGGTAGCGTTTCCTCGCCAGCTGGCTGCTAGGCAGGGCCTTGCCTTGCTCCTTGGCTTCCTGTCTCAAAGGACCTTAAATGGGCTCTGAGCACCCAGCACGAGAACCTCAGGCCGGGAGCTGCTCTGAACAGGTGCCCCCTTCGCACGGTGACTCCCCTCGGCATTGGGTGCGATAATCCTGGCCCCAACGCTCTCTGCGACATTGGCCCCTCTCCCATGTGGTGGCATTGACCTGTCTCCACCACGCTCTGCACTCCAGGCAGGGCACAGGGTCAGTGCCAGCAAACACGCGCGTCCTTGCCATGAGAACTGCTGCACATACATCAGGCATATCTCTGAGCTCAAGGTTTGCGGGAGAGATTAGGCGCCTGGTAGTTTGTTCGGATGTGCTCCGGCCCCTTTCCTGGAGTCTCTCATTGCAAGCCCAACTCTCCTTCCTTGTAAATGTCTGGGAGACAGAACTGGGACCCCCATCCTCCCTTGAGGGTGCCTGGGCACGAGGGAGGGCTGGACAGTGGTGTTTGGATGCTTGAAGCAATTCTAAATCCAGGCCCAAGAGTCTGGGCTTGAGACTGCAGTTTGGGGCAGCTTGTGGGTGAGAGAAAACCTGCAGGGACAGGCGGGTCCAAGAGCAGAGATGGTGCCTGGAGCTGCTATTGGAGGAACTGGCTGCTCGCTGCTGCCCACTCTTCTCCTATGAGTGGAGGATCAACAGAGGGTATTCAAAAGCTGGGCTACAAATAGTGAGAAATGGGCACTTTCTACATTGATTGGGCTAGTGTGTTGCATTCCTGGCAAATCCCAGTGATTAACCATTTCAGTGGTGTGTTCAAAAGCTTGGACATCTCCTTTGAAAACTTTCTTTGGCTGAAAACTGAGATTCTTTCCCCTTACCTCTCCCCAACCTTTCTTTTTATGGAAAATCCTCACTTTCCTAATGTCTTTGATGTTTTCCTCAGACAGTTGAACCATCCTCTCCCAAACTGAAAGCTCCGGGTAGGTTATCTTTGAGTAAGAAGTCAAAACCTCCCAGTTTGTCCAAAACTGAGTTTAGCAGCAGTGTGTGCGTGTGTGTGCGTGCAGAGAGTGGAGGGTTTTTGAGTGAGGGCTCAGTCTTGCACTGTGGTTCCTCTCCCTTGGCAGGGGGGATAGATGCACCAGCCCCAAGATTACTGCTTGCATGGTCTGTCAGTGCTGCCCGTGTCCCACGGCTCCTGGGACGCCCCACAGTCACTTCTTGCAGAAGGCAGCTTGATTAAAGCAAGCATTCCACCAAATTAGCAAGCCACTAATTTGTTATTAGGGACAGTCTGGGCTTCTGACATGTGTTAGCCCAAACTCCACAAAAAAAAAAAAAAAAAATAGAATGAACCTTTCTCCTCTGCTGTAGCAATGGAGCCTCCTGAATCAGGAGCAGATTGATTCACTCTTCAGAGGAGGAGAGACTAAATGAATCTCACAGCTTCTGGGACTGAACTAAGGAGCTTTCCTCTCTGGTATCTATTAACTGGTATCTATTAACATGAAGTAAATCACACATATATTATGCCTCTCTTGCACTTTTCAGGAGACAATTTAACCAATAAGCAAACGTGGCTTGTTCTCTCTGCCGTTTTTCAAAGTACGCAAAGGTTTTCATTTTACAGCAAGGATCTGCAGCAGGGCACAGGGGAAGGGCTAGAAAACTTCCACATTAAGAGCACAGCCCAGGCGCCCCAGTCTGCCACACTGCTCCAGGTGCTGCAGTGTCCTGGCCCTCGCTGTGCAGGGCACATCCCACGCTGAGTTTGCATCCCCTGTGTAATTAGGCATTGCATTGAATATTGGTCATGAATCTGGCTTTAGGTTGAGCTTAGTCTATGTTCTGGAGGGGAAAAGCAGAAAGACCAAACAAGGTGAGTGCTGCTGGGGACAGTTGGTGGGGTGGTGCTCATGACCAGGTGTCACCCAGCTCGTGTGGCCCGATGTGGTGGGCCCCAGGGCCGTCCCTCCCTCCTCCGCCCCCAGAGGGTGGCCTCCAGCTTCCCCCGCGGCTGTGCTTATAACTGTGTCTCTGGATGGCCTTGCAAAGACAGCCTGGGAGGCGCGCAGCAAGAACCAGCGGGCATGATAGCGCAGGGTGTCTCGGGGCTGCTGCGACCCTTGCTCAACGGGCTGAGCAAAACTCACCTGATCTATCCACGCAGGGCAGCTGGGCGGCGTTGCATGCTGGCCGTGCTGGGGCCTGGAAGAGGCTTCGGCACCACAAAAACGCTCCAGGAGGGCCCTGGGGGGCCAAGGTGAGTTCAGAACTGGACTTGGGCTCATTGCATCTGCCGTGTCCCCGGGCCCTGCATGGGGCTGCGCTGTGATGCTTGCTGCAATGGGGTGCACAGCTCGCTGTGCTGGGGGAAGCTCTGCTGTGGGCTTGGCTTACGGGCTGACACCACGACCGCAGCCTCTGGCTTTCCTCAGGGTGGCAGGGTCCCTCTCCTGTTTCACCATGGATGGCTCCTGTAATCCCTTGAGTTTCTTCCTCACCCTTCAGGTGTTTTTGCTGTTGTATTCTGCTGCAAGTCTTTGGACTGTTTGCCAATGTCAGATAAGCCGCCCACCTCACCTCCTCTCTCTGGGTCACTGGTGGCTGCTAAAACATGTGGCCCAGGTGGCACCTCCGGCTTTGGTGTGAGCATGGCAGGAAGCTGCTCATACTGACTGCCCTGAGCGCTCCTACCCTTCGGCAGAAAGAGGGTGATGGGCAGAGACTTTGCTCTGACCATAGGGACGTGCCTTAATATTCAGCACCGCTGCTGAGGAATGGGGTAAAGGGTCCAACAGAACATCTTTACATGCCTCCTTCTCTGCATGTAGGTAGAACTAGATGCTGGCAATGGTGTGATCCCCAGAGACCTGCCCAGAAATGCTGCAAACATGAGTGGGAGAGTGGGAATGGTGCTGCAATACCTGCAGGGAAGGAGGAGACTGTGGACACTGCGACTGCTTGTTTGTATTTGTGCAGCAGGAACTGCAAGAACCGCAGCTTTCCCTGCTAGTCTCTGATCCTCAAGGGTTATTTGGAAGGACAGTGCGTTTCCCTGGGCAAAGTAAAGGGAATCTGTAGCTCTCCCAAGTATGATCTGGGTCAGACTGTAGTCTGCTAGCAGAGATTATAGTAGGTGAAGAAAAGAGCCCAGCCAGCAACCCAGAAAACACAATAGACTGCTCTGCTATCTGACCTTAGAGAAAAGTTATACTGATAAGCCTGCTTAATGGGATTTATGAGGAGTTGTTATCAGTTGGTTTTCTCTCTAATGGGTTTATTGCTGATGAAGTTATCTGCATCAGTACTTGTAGGCACCTCACTGTTTTGTATGTCCTTGGGAAGCATTTTTTGGAGAAAAACATTGAGACAGAGAACAATAACCTTCCAGACATGTCCCTCTTGCAACACTAGCACTCTCTGTCACACAAAGGCTGGGATGTTTGGAAGGGGCTAAAATGTTGGTGTACATCAAACATGCGTGACTGAGCTTGTCATGGGAAATCACCCAACAGTGTCAAGAAACCTGCCAATTTGCCATAAAATTGAATAAATGGGTCCGATCCATCAAAATAGAGAGATGTTTTATTTTCTTTTTTGAAAATTAACCTTTAAATTCAATTCCTTACTGGCAGAGAAGTGTCTGTGGATCTCACCATGAGGGGAACTGAAGCGTCCTGGAAGATGCTCTTTGGCCAAGTGTGCTTTGTAAAATAGAGTGCTCCTCCTGGCCCTCTGCAATGGCGGTGTGTGCTGGCATGCCGCGTGTGGATTTTCCATTAACGGGTAATCAGCAGAAATCACCACGTTCCTCACTTTCATCTGCCACAGCAGAGAGGGGTGAGCAGACAGGATAAGGCCTTTCAGCTGCTGCTTGTGCTGTCCCGAGGACAGTTCACATTTAGGCAGTTCCTCCTCCCTGGCTCTCTGACTTCCCAAGCAAATGTCTGGCATGGAGAAGGAAAAGCCTCATCAGTTGGCACTGCTCCTCTGACAAGCGGGGAAAGTCAGAGGATTTGCTGCAACTTGTGGCTCTGGCTATGACAGTTTGTATTCAGAAAGCATGTTGCAAATGTTTGAGAGCATTAGAAATTCTCAGACCCTCTGAGCTGTTCCTGCTGTGTGTTTCTCTAGACCCAGGAACATGTTGCTAGCAGACTTTATGTCCAACCGAAAAATGCTTTCATTGCAGGAAGAGGGATTCTGCTCTTTCAGCCTTGTGCAAGTGGGAAGAGAGGGGACTATGAACCTGACCAGTTCTTGCTGTGAAACACATTCTGTTTTCAAGGCTGTGGATCTTTCTTCTTATGCCAGAAATGACAGCAGCAAGGCCATGAGGCAGCACTAATGCTTCCAGTGTTCAGGAGCTTACTGGGGCCGTTAGAGACGGGGTTGCTGTTTCTAGAGGACAAGCTGTCTGCACTCCTGGATTTACAAGAAAGAACGGACTCATCCTCCATGACTTGGAGAAAGTCCTGGGCTTGGAGACAGTGGGCATATGGGCAGTGGCACATGGAGAGGCTCTGGGCAAAATCCTTTCTGCATTCAGGGTGCTTTCCTGTGTCAACACTGTTGGTGCTATATGGGACCGGCTGCTGCTTAGTGACCCATTGAGTATGTATGGATCATTAGAAGGGACATCATTCTTTGGCTGCTTAGTGCTTTCCATAGCAAATAAATCAAAGAGTCTCAGAATATATCTCCGTAGTGAGAAATACCTCACATAGTGCTCTTCAGGATGGTAACCTTGTCCATGTTGGTGGAGAGGGCCTGGTCTGGAGGAGTTGAAGTAGATGCTGTGTATTCTTGATTTTGTAGATGTAGTTTCTGCATGATGCTGATAAAAGATGCTGATAGCCTTGTTCTGTATTTCATCACAAGATTAAATCCCTCAAGCTGGCAATATAATTAGCAATTTCTCTGGAGCAAGAATTGTGTAATCTTGGAAGAGTTAATTCAGAGGTGCTGCCCTACAAGCTGAGACTGAGCAAGACTCCCAGGAATTGAGGATTGGGAAGGTATGAACACTTTATGATGGAACAGAGTGGAAAAGGAGCCAACAGCAAATAACCCCCTTGAGAATGGAGGGTACAAAAAAGTGAATGACCAAAACCTGCCTGTAAACACTCAAGCCACCAGCCAGTGCAGAGGCAGCAGGTACAGAGCAGCTGCACTTGTCTACTCACAGCCAAACACTGATTCCAATAAAAGTTTCATAAAAGGGGAGATGTTTTAGGCCAGTTCAAATTGTAAGAGTTCTAGTTTGCCCATCTCCTCTGAAACCTAATACCTGAAGCTTTGGAAACTTGTCTTACAGCTCTGCAGAGCAGGTAACTGTGCATTTTATAAACCGGGATGGAGAGAAACTCACCGCCACAGCCAAAGAAGGGGAAACCTTGCTGCAAGTGGTTGTCAATCAAAACTTGGCCATTGATGGATTTGGTAGGTGTGACACAAGGGTAGGTGGTCTTTGGAGTTAAGTACCAGCAGGTACCTGAGAACACTGCAGGTGTACGCATGCTGCTGTGTTTTGGTGACCATGGAGAGGATGCAAGCACTTTACTTGCTGATTTGGTCATCAGCCCTTTTGCTTAAGGATCAGTTTTCCTTGACTTGCTGAGCTTGCAGCCCTTAGCAGATGTACTCGCTGGCAAGCTTCTCTTCCCCAAAAAATCCTTGCTAAGGTGGTTTACCACACTGGCCTGGCAGTGTGACTGCCACTCCCTCACTGGAATCCAGTGGCCTGTGTCAATAGTTATATTTGGTCAGAGATGAAGTACTAAATTTTAAGATGATTGGGATCCTCATGGAGAAGAAGCAGGCTGAAGTCTGTGTCCATCTATTGTGTCTTCTGGAATCTCTTCTGACATGCTCTATATGTCAGATGAGCTATTTGCCCACTGTTCCCAATCTTTCTCACCTTCTTTTTTTCTCACATGTGCTGTTACCCACTTCATTCTCCTTCAGGTGCATGTGAAGGGACATTAGCTTGCTCCACCTGTCACCTGATTTTTGAAAAGGACATCTTCCAAAAGCTGGATGCCATTTCAGATGATGAGATGGACATGCTGGACCTGGCTTATGGACTCACTGAGAGGTAAGTTCTCTTGCTGATTGTTTTAGATACTCAAAGTCTCTGAGATAGATTTAGGTGAGAACAGGAGTTATTCTGTACTATAATTGTATTATAATTATATAGAATCATTATATTATATAGAATCAATACATTATAGAATAATGTATTTGAATATATTGTTATAATAATATAATATTAAATAGTATATTATTGTATATAATTGTATTACAATTTTAATTTAAAACTACTTGGTTTTGGCTTTTACCTTTAATAGGAATGCTATTCCCAGCCGGGAGCAGACATTGCCAGGGTATGGAGTGTATTTCTGTCTTTGCTGTGGAAATGCATAAACCTCACTTAATGTTGTTTTCTTCTCAGATCTCGCCTTGGCTGCCAGGTGTGTGTTAAGAAGTGGATGGATGGTCTAACAGTGCAAGTTCCAATGGAGGTGTCTGACATTAGGAAGGAACTGGAAGTCGGGAATCAAAACAAACAGTAACCAGAAACAAATCCTGCACAATCTGTTCCCTTGTTTTTGGTGTGGTGGTGGCACTTGGCTCTTGGTTAGCTCCAGCTTTGTGCCTCGGTTGCAGTAGACAACGGAGGTCTGTTTCAGCATGTATGACTGCTCAGCAGATCTCTTATTTAAACAAAGCTTAATATTAGGGTCTTCAGTACATGCTTTAAGTTGAGTAAGTCCTTAAGTGCTCTGTTGAACGCAATTGGACTAAAGGATACGGCTTTACATTTGCCTGCATGGGTGACAGCAAACATCTGTGCTATGTGTGATTTACTCTCTCTTTAAAATTAAGTATGTGCTATTCTAATTACTGGTAATTTTGCTGGGCTTGGCTATTCAACTGCAGAGAGCCTTTTTCCCTCTTTAAGTTATGGGAGGAGGTGGTTGTCCCAAACACATGCCTGTATATCAGGACTGGCTTTATGACAGGGGCTTCAGCATTTTGTTCAGAAAGGGAGCCACTTTCTAGCAATATGAGATATTATATGTCACTGGATTATGTACCATGATTTGCTAGTTTCTTTAAATCTCAAATTTTCTCATTTCTGTAGTACCATATATGTCAAATAATAAAATTCTAATAATCAGGGTTTTAGACCTGTGGGATGCACTTTTTTGGCAACATAGGTCTGGTTATAATAGCTGGAATGTGATACATTTTTAAGTATAATACCCTGTTGCTCTAGCTTACCTGACTCTTTTTTTTTTTTAACCCTGTATTGAATGGCTATTTCAAGCTTTTTATCTGAGTCATATAGAGAACTCATGGCATTTTAACAAGTTTTCCAAACTGAATCCTGCATAGAAATCTTTCAGTAGATTCTTTCTAGATCTTTGACCCATGCTTGGGATGGGGATGCCCTGAGGGACTGCAGGCCTAAGTGAAGCAACACTTTTTTGCATTTTTAGCATTGATACAGTAAATAGATGGCATTTAAAAGGTTCACTGCGTCTCTAAGCATCCTGGTACCAACTGGATGGTACCTTTTAAAAATCAGGATCCATGCAATTATGCTAATGGCTTTTGCAGGGGATCTCTGCCCAGTTTTCCCCCAGTACCCTCCGAGTTTGGAAATTGCATGTGCTAAGCTTGAATCCAGGACCCACTTGAGCCAAAGCTAGAACATGATCACCTCCAGGCTTACAGATCCTGAATAATAAAATAACATCGCTGCTAGGTTTGCATTGCAGATGGTGTTGGGTTTTGCCTGAATGTCACGGCTAAAGAGTGGCAATTTCTGAGGGCTTTGGTCTGACACAAGATGGAGCTCTCTGCTCATCAGCAGCTCTTAGTCCACCAAGCAAGCAGAGAGGAAGGGAACGAAACCTGAGCTTTCCTTGGAGAATGAATGATTCATCCTTCTTCTGTCTAACAGGCCCCAGCTTTACTATAATAAAGCAAAAAGAATACAACGAGGGTTATGGACTTACCATAGGCTGCAGAAGGGGTAAATAACAGCAGTAAATCCACCAGTTTGGGTGCTTCTTCATGTATCTCCAGACTCCTCAATCTGCCAAATCCCTTTGCAAAGCACTTGGCACTCTCAGCCCTATCCTGCTCCCAAGGTCCAACCTCAACCACAGGCTGCTGCTGAAAGATGTCAGTTCTCTGTATGCAGGTACGAAGGCATGTCCTGGTGGGATTATAAGTGGGGGTGACAGCTGGACTGAAGAGCTCACATGATGGCATATCCCTCCTCAGAGCATGGCTGCTTTTAAGAAAGTAAGCTCCTGTGGTGAGCTCTTTCACTTGCTACCCAGGTAGGAAAAGCAGCCTGCACCTCTCCATGGCAGGTCTGTCCCACCAGGTGACATGAGGTACCAGAGAAGGCTGCACAAAACTGCTGCTTTCAGGAAGACAGAGCGTGTTGGGGTGGGATCCTTTCTGAGGATATCATGTCTTTCCAGCCTGTGCTGGGCAGTCAGAAATCAAATTAGGGCAGTAGCAGCAAGTTACTATTGCTGCTCCAAGCATGTCCATCGAGGCTTCTGTCGGCCTGCAGGGCTGGAGTACAAAGCCTGCAGGCCAAGCAGGGCTGCAGTCCCTGAGTCATGGCCTCCTCAGAGCCAGGAAGCCGGGCTCGACTGGCCTTCATCTACCCCGGGGCAGGTCGGGAAGGCTCCTCGCTTCCTGCACAGCCGGCACACAGCGCGTCTTCCTGAGCGACTGCGTCCGGCCAGGCGCCAGCTTGGACGCTTGGCTTTGGGCCAATTTGAACTAAACCTCTCCTTTTGATCTGGAAAAGGGCAGAGAGAAGGGAAACACATTTGTGTCCGAATCTGAGGGCTGTAGGTTAATGGAAAACACGGCCTTTCTGGAGCAGAAAACCCACTATCTAAATGGTCTTTCTTCTGAGCACAGGCAGCTGGGGAAGGGGACCCTTAAGGCCCTTTGAAATTGTGCTCCAAGGCTTCCCAGGAGAGGTGGTGCAGACCCAACTACGTGACAGAAGATGAATCAAATACTGGGAAGGCAAAGTGTGATTTCATGTGGATACCCTGGTGAACCTTTGCATCTCCCTGGGTGTCTCCTGTCCAGGACTGACAGGGAAGCAGGCTGCCTGCACACTGGCTAATGCAGAATTCATATTCTGGGCCTCTCCAGTTGCCAGATTATGCTTGTGGTCCTGGGTTTCTTGGGATTAAAGGCAGCAGTTTGAAGTTCACAAAAAAATGTGATGCAAACTGGGAGCTCCTACTCTGCCTTTGGTCCAGGTTCTCCTTGGCTGAACCGAGCCCAGCCCAGCCATTGAGTCAGTTCACAACACTTTAGTATGTTTAGAGTACAGATTCATTTCTCTTCCAAGTACAAATAGACTTTTCTCATAATATTTACTGCAGTTTCTCCTCTTGGAAATTCACAAATAAGATTAACGACTGCAGATGACTCATTTTATAGCAGCTCCTAAAACCCCCTCAGATTTGGTTTGCCTACCCTGTCTAGACCAGCCTTGGGGTGAGGAGCTCTGCTGTCCCCAGGGTGCGGGTACCTCTGTGATTCTAGATCCCAGGAATGGCTCCAGCTGGGTTTTCCAGGTGCAATCTGCAGCACCTGGCTGCTGCCTGCCGGGACAGCTGCTGCCATAGCCCCACAGCTCATCTCAAGCAGCGCAATGTTGTAGGAATGTCCCTTTTCAAAGATGTCCAGCCAGGCAGGTCTCTGGCATCCTCAGGGGCAGATCTTACACTCAGTTTCAGCTGCAGACTAGCAAACCCCCTCTTTGCTTGCAACACTGTCAGGGCAATGAGACCGCACTCCTTCAAGCAGTAGGAAGGAAGGAGAGCCATAAGGAGATTCATAAGTACTTAGCCAGCTCTTTCTGTGCAGAGCAGCAGTAGTGTTATTTGCCAATCTCCCTTTGGGGCCCCATGGTCAGAAGGTCTTTTGCCAGCATCCCTCAGCCAAGGGCAGAAGGGAAAACAGGAGTGAGGGCAGCAAGGACCACACTGACAAACACACTTGTGTCACTTTTATTGAAATAGTTACAACTGTAACTTTGGAGAAAAGCTTGTGAATGCCTCTTTAGTGTTCACACGTGAGGGACACGACGGCAGGCGATTTGTATCACAACTATATACACCTTTCCTCATACAAAGGCCACCAGTGTGAATGGACACAGAGGGTGCCATGGTTGGCAAGTTAAAAAACAAATTGACTTCTAGTTTCCCTCAGCCCTGATGGGATTTTCAATGGCATGAACTGCGGGGGTGCTGGCCCAGCTTCCAGCCATCAACTGCCAGACATATGTGGAGGATCAGTGCAATTGGTGCTCACTAGACTGCTGTACAGAGGTGGCTTCCTCAACTATGCGAGAGTTGAGCCAGGGCAGGTCTGGGGCTCCAAGAATAGCTATATTGCTTGCAAGGGCACTCTGGCTTTATGACAGGGGCTTCAGCATTTTGTTCAGAAAGGGAGCCACTTTCTAGCAATATGAGATATTATATGTCACTGGATTATGTACCATGATTTGCTAGTTTCTTTAAATCTCAAATTTTCTCATTTCTGTAGTACCATATATGTCAAATAAAATTCTAATAATCAGGGTTTTAGACCTGTGGGATGCACTTTTTTGGCAACATAGGTCTGGTTATAATAGCTGGAATGTGATACATTTTTAAGTATAATACCCTGTTGCTCTAGCTTTCCTGACTCTTTTTTTTTTTTTTTTTAACCCTGCATTGAATGGCAATTTCAAGCTTTTTATCTGAGTCATATAGAGAACTCATGGCATTTTAACAAGTTTTCCAAACTGAATCCTGCATAGAAATCTTTCAGTAGATTCTTTCTAGATCTGTGACCCATGCTTGGGATGGGGATGTCCTGAGGGACTGCAGGCCTAGGTGAAGCAACACTTTTTTTGCATTTTTAGCATTGATACATTAAATAGATGGCATTTAAAAGGTTCACTGCGTCTCTAAGCATCCTGGTACCAACTGGATGGTACCTTTTAAAAATCAGGATCCATGCAATTATGCTAATGGCTTTTGCAGGGGATCTCTGCCCAGTTTTCCCCCAGTACCCTCCGAGTTTGGAAATTGCATGTGCTAAGCTTGAATCCAGGACCCACTTGAGCCAAAGCTAGAACACGATCACCTCCAGGCTTACAGATCCTGAATAATAAAATAACATCGCTGCTAGGTTTGCATTGCAGATGGTGTTGGGTTTTGCCTGAATGCCACGGCTAAAGAGTGGCAATTTCTGAGGGCTTGGTCTGACACAAGATGGAGCTCTCTGCTCATCAGCAGCTCTTAGTCCACCAAGCAAGCAGAGAGGAAGGGAACGAGACCTGAGCTTTCCTTGGAGAATGAATGATTCATCCTTCTTCTGTCTAACAGGCCCCAGCTTTACTATAATAAAGCAAAAAGAATACAACGAGGGTTATGGACTTACCATAGGCTGCAGAAGGGGTAAATAACAGCAGTAAATCCACCAGTTTGGGTGCTTCTTCATGTATCTCCAGACTCCTCAATCTGCCAAATCCCTTTGCAAAGCACTTGGCACTCTCAGCCCTATCCTGCTCCCAAGGTCCAACCTCAACCACAGGCTGCTGCTGAAAGATGTCAGTTCTCTGCATGCAGGTACGAAGGCATGTCCTGGTGGGATTATAAGTGGGAGTGACAGCTGTGACTGAAGAGCTCACATGATGGCATGTCCCTCCTCAGAGCATGGCTGCTTTTAAGAAAGTAAGCTCCTGCGGTGAGCTCTTTCACTTGCTACCCAGGTAGGAAAAGCAGCCTGCACCTCTCCATGGCAGGTCTGTCCCACCAGGTGACATGAGGTACCAGAGAAGGCTGCACAAAACTGCTGCTTTCAGGAAGACAGAGCGTGTTGGGGTGGGATCCTTTCTGAGGATATCATGTCTTTCCAGCCTGTGCTGGGCAGTCAGAAATCAAATTAGGGCAGTAGCAGCAAGTTACTATTGCTGCTCCAAGCATGTCCATCGAGGCTTCTGTCGGCCTGCAGGGCTGGAGTACAAAGCGTGCAGGCCAAGCAGGGCTGCAGTCCCTGAGTCATGGCCTCCTCAGAGCCAGGAAGCCGGGCTCGACTGGCCTTCATCTACCCCGGGGCAGGTCGGGAAGGCTCCTCGCTTCCTGCACAGCCGGCACACAGCGCGTCTTCCTGAGCGACTGCGTCCGGCCAGGCGCCAGCTTGGACGCTTGGCTTTGGGCCAATTTGAACTAAACCTCTCCTTTTGATCTGGAAAAGGGCAGAGAGAAGGGAAACACATTTGTGTCCGAATCTGAGGGCTGTAGGTTAATGGAAAACACGGCCTTTCTGGAGCAGAAAACCCACTATCTAAATGGTCTTTCTTCTGAGCGCAGGCAGCTGGGGAAGGGGACCCTTAAGGCCCTTTGAAATTGTGCTCCAAGGCTTCCCAGGAGAGGTGGTGCAGACCCAACTACGTGACAGAAGATGAATCAAATACTGGGAAGGCAAAGTGTGATTTCATGTGGATACCCTGGTGAACCTTTGCATCTCCCTGGGTGTCTCCTGTCCAGGACTGACAGGGAAGCAGGCTGCCTGCACACTGGCTAATGCAGAATTCATATTCTGGGCCTCTCCAGTTGCCAGATTATGCTTGTGGTCCTGGGTTTCTTGGGATTAAAGGCAGCAGTTTGAAGTTCACAAAAAAATGTGATGCAAACTGGGAGCTCCTACTCTGCCTTTGGTCCAGGTTCTCCTTGGCTGAACCGAGCCCAGCCCAGCCATTGAGTCAGTTCACAACACTTTAGTATGTTTAGAGTACAGATTCATTTCTCTTCCAAGTACAAATAGACTTTTCTCATAATATTTACTGCAGTTTCTCCTCTTGGAAATTCACAAATAAGATTAACGACTGCAGATGACTCATTTTATAGCAGCTCCTAAAACCCCCTCAGATTTGGTTTGCCTACACTGTCTAGACCAGCCTTGGGGTGAGGAGCTCTGCTGTCCCCAGGGTGCGGGTACCTCTGTGATTCTAGATCCCAGGAATGGCTCCAGCTGGGTTTTCCAGGTGCAATCTGCAGCACCTGGCTGCTGCCTGCCGGGACAGCTGCTGCCATAGCCCCACAGCTCATCTCAAGCAGCGCAATGTTGTAGGAATGTCCCTTTTCAAAGATGTCCAGCCAGGCAGGTCTCTGGCATCCTCAGGGGCAGATCTTACACTCAGTTTCAGCTGCAGACTAGCAAACCCCCTCTTTGCTTGCAACACTGTCAGGGCAATGAGACCGCACTCCTTCAAGCAGTAGGAAGGAAGGAGAGCCATAAGGAGATTCATAAGTACTTAGCCAGCTCTTTCTGTGCAGAGCAGCAGTAGTGTTATTTGCCAATCTCCCTTTGGGGCCCCATGGTCAGAAGGTCTTTTGCCAGCATCCCTCAGCCAAGGGCAGAAGGGAAAACAGGAGTGAGGGCAGCAAGGACCACACTGACAAACACACTTGTGTCACTTTTATTGAAATAGTTACAACTGTAACTTTGGAGAAAAGCTTGTGAATGCCTCTTTAGTGTTCACACGTGAGGGACACGACGGCAGGCGATTTGTATCACAACTATATACACCTTTCCTCATACAAAGGCCACCAGTGTGAATGGACACAGAGGGTGCCATGGTTGGCAAGTTAAAAAACAAATTGACTTCTAGTTTCCCTCAGCCCTGATGGGATTTTCAATGGCATGAACTGCGGGGGTGCTGGCCCAGCTTCCAGCCATCAACTGCCAGACATATGTGGAGGATCAGTGCAATTGGTGCTCACTAGACTGCTGTACAGAGGTGGCTTCCTCAACTATGCGAGAGTTGAGCCAGGGCAGGTCTGGGGCTCCAAGAATAGCTATATTGCTTGCAAGGGCACTCGTGCCACAAGGCTCAGCTCTCAGTCACTGTGGTTCAAGCATTTCTTTTGTTCTCCTTCACCGGTTTACTGTTAATTGAATAAAAGACGTGCCTCTGACAGAAGCCAATTCAGAAAACTTTCAGGTAACTTTCAAATGAACCATTCCTAACCTTTGAGACTTTTCCCATTGCTTTCTTAACACATCACAAACTAATATGGCTGCCTCACCTTTCTTATAAAGCTCAGCTGGCAGCATCACAGCCCTTCAAGCAAGTCCCATCGTGGAAGCCATCCCTAACCTTTGAGACTTTTTCCATTGCTTTCTTAACACATCAGAAACTAATATGACTGCCTCACCTTTCTTATGACTGCCTCACCTTTCTTTCTGCTCAGCTGGCAGCATCACAACCCTTCAAGCAAGTCCCATCGTGGAAGCTCTTGGGAGAGCTTCCTTGAGTGGACTCATAGGGATGCTCCCTGGCTGTATTGTTGCCTTGTTAGCACATCCCTGTCTAGAACTTGTCCATACCTGACATGGCTGGAGCATGCTGGACCATCTATTTAGCTGAAGGGGAATTTATTAATACTCCAATACAGCTTTAGTTCTGAGGAAGCCTGGATCGTCTCATCCTTATGGCCTGACAGCTTTCTGGACACATGGCACTTTTTGCTTCAGCATCCACTCGACAACACTCTCAACTACTTCCACAGCTCCTTGACTTCTTGCTAAAACCAAATCCTACTTATCACCTCCCTCATAACTCCTGATAGGGATTTGATTAGGATCTCCACCCATACTCTCTCTGAAGAGAGTCTTCTGAAATTGCACCATCACCAAAAATAATATCTTTCCTAGAACTAGGACTACCTACTCCCAGGGGAGACCACAGAAGATAAATGTTCATCACTCTGCTGAAATGACCAAGCTAGAGTTTTTTGTATCAGCTGTGGCTCTGCAAAATACTGGCTTTGAGAGAGGTAGGTAAAAAAAGAAATAACACATAATTAATTGTGGGGAAAAAAAAAAAAAAAGGAATCTTGGAGTCTAAAGTTTACCAGTGACTTCTGAGAGTGGAAGATGAGCCTTGGGCTCCATTTGGTGTTTCTGGAGCGCAGCTTCAAGCAATAATGAACACAAGTAGTGAGCTAGACCACCGTGTGACACAAGAAAGTAGTAGGGATTTCTAGGGTGGAGGTGAAGGGCTTTCCTTTGAATGACTGCTGGTGATGAACAGTGAACAGTGGAGAACTTTGTGCAAGCTTAAAGGACATCGTTATCTTATTCCGAGAGAGTTTTAGCTACCCTAGTTCTCCAGTCATCCACACACATTAATAACTGAAGAAAACAAAGCAGAGTTTCTCCTTTCCCCCTTTAAAAAGAAATGGAGGAAGACTCTGCAGGTAGCTAATTCAGGGACAGCGTCTGGTGGTATTCAGGCAACTCCGTACTTGAGTCAATTAAGCATCTTCAGTAGAAAAAGGACGTAAAGAAAAAATAAAGAACAAAAAAACCACCCAAACCCAGACAAATGTTAATCCCCAGCATTACTTACACATTAGTGTTACACTTTACACTTACTGCCTCTTGCAGCCTGTTAGATTCTTCACACCTTAGTCATATCTTACAGAATATTTTCTAATGATGCACAAACACACACACACAAAATATTCAGTTCTCCCATACCTCCCTAGACAAATGTCTCTTCTGCAAGTGCCACCGCATCGCACTCCTCTGTGGCCACCTCTGCTGGTGGCTGCTTCCTGAGCCACTCCACCCTGCTCCGAAGGAGTTCATTCTCCACTGTTTCTGCTTCTGTCACACGGCAGTTCTTGGTTTCATCATGCTTGAAATATTCCCTGACAGTGTTTCGGATGGAAGCTGGGAGGATGATGCGGATAGTGTGGCTGAACGTGTTGAAGCCCTTGCTCTGGGATGGCGCCTGCGCCTTTTCCACTGGCTTGCTCTCTGGTTCCTGGGGAGTGGAGGCACTGTGGGGGCTGGCTTTATGCTCCGTCTGCAGGGATGGGGTGGTTGATCTGTGGTGGTAGCGCCTGGAGATGGATTGCAAGACTAGGGGGGTATTCTGCCCATAGAAAACTGTCTGGGGAATGTGGACCCTTACAGTCTGTAAGCCCTTGGACAGGCTTTGCTCACTGCTGCTGCTGGCTGAGTTGCTGCTGCTGGTGCTCACTGGGAATCTTTCCTTTTCCTCTTCCACCAGAGACCCACAAGAGCTTTCTTTATTTGGGGCCATGTAAAAAGTTATCTTGGTGCGTTTCAGGCTTTCCTCACTTGGAGGGGAGGCATCAATGCTTTTGATCTCAATGTGCTTCACTACCTTCTGCCTGTGCTGCTGGTGGCTGATCTCTGGAGATTTCTCATCAGCTGTGCTGGGAGCTGGCTGCTCTGGTCCCTGTTCAGACTCCTTGAAATAACCCAGGCTCCCTAGCTCTGGTCCAGGGGACCCCATGCACCTCAGCTGCCTCTCCTCTTCTTCCCAGTCAATGTCAGTCAGCAGGTTTCCCACAGCTGCTCTGCTGACAGACGCAGAACTTCTTCCTTCCCCAGAGCACCGGCTGTTCTCAGCAACCTTGGGCTCACACTCATGGAAAGTGTCCAGGTCACAGGGGTTTGAAGGTAAAGGGGACGTCAGGGACTTATGCCATTCTTTTAGGGACCTCCTGGCAATCCTGGGGGACACAGCATGGAGCCTGGCAGATGTCCCGAACATGAAAGGCAGGGATGAGACATCTGTGGGACTAATAGCTGATGACTCTGAGCAGTAAGAGAAAGCACTGTCCAAGGAGCTCAGTGAGGAAGCAGATGGGGAGGTGGTGGTAGAGGACAAGCTAGAAAAGCTAGACCTATTAGACAGGCTGGATTTCTGCAGGCTCAGCTTCTTCACTGTACAGCTGGTCTGAGGTGATTGCCAGAGGTTCTGCCTGGCCTTATTGACTCCAGGGCTTAGACCTTCGTCAATCAGCTTCTGGCTCTCCACCTGCAGTTGCTTGAGCCGGTGGATGTAGTCAGTGTGGCTGTGCATGATGGTGGCATCACAGCTGGACTGACGGGCCACTGGCTCGTGGCTCTGGGCTGGAAGCTGGGAGCTGAGGCAGACACTGGGCTCTGATGAGCACCGCTCCCGGGCTGGGCTGAGGGAACGTATTGACCCGATGGAGCAGAAGGAGCCATCATCTTCCAGGTCGTAGCTGTCTGCGCTGGCGTTCTTCTGAGCTTTGCTTTGGTAGCAAGCTGTGATCTCACTGAACAAGTCCCAGTCTTTCTGCTCCTCATCCAGTAACAAGCTGCTGGATGGTTCAAAAATGGCATCTGTTTCAGGCTCCAGGTGATGCTTTGGTCCCTCTGGGTCACAAGCAGAAAACTCCAGCTCATCAGAGGAATCATCATGCTGAGTCAAGCCTATGCCTGGGGCAGACAGTGCAAATTAATCTGTTGCCTATGCCCTCCCAACCCAGTACAGTGCTTTACAGCCATGGCAGGGAAATATTATCAGCTTCATTTTGAAGATGTGTAAACAAAGATTCATGATTTTCTCAGAGCCTAGATAATTACTGGGAACACCACCAAAAAGTCTTGCTTGATGACCTGAGCTTTCATAGTTTGCATTCATAGGACAGTTAAAAGAGATGACTAGATCTCTTTACATTCAACTATTCTACTGGGAACACCACCAAAAAGTCTCGCTTGATGACCTGAGCTTTCACTGCTAGTTTGCATTCATAGGACAGTTAAAATAGGTGACTAGATCTCTTTACATTCAACTATTTGGTTCAACTTTAGAAAACTGACTAGGAAGAAAAAGTTGGTGAGCTATGTATTGCTATGGCTATTGAAACCCCTGTGGTTTCTCTCTCTAAGATGGAAGGCCTGGAGTAGATAGAACAGCAGACAAGGAGAAAGACAACCACGTTCAAGGACACATTGAAGGTGGTGTACCTCAGCCCTCAGCCTTCCCCTTCCTGTCTGTGCCTGACAGGGAAAGGGAAAACCAAAACTAACTGTTTTACAATGGTTTTCCTTAGTAGAGAAGTGAAGGGTAAAGCAAACATTTCATATGAGTTTCTGTTAGTAAGGAACACTCCTGGAAGACACCGTGCCATCAACTTACCTAGGGAGTCCCCTGAGCTTTTGGACTTCTTTTTGTCTGCTCTTTGAAACAAGGAAGCAATGTCACCTCCAAAAATCTCCGCTGAGTTTTCAATCAGGAACTGCACTAACATGGCCACCTGCCAAAGACATGAATTCCTGGAGTTAGTTTCAAGGAAACACAGCCAACTATACAAACGAAGTCAAATCAGACCTGAAAGGCACCTCAGAGATGACTTTTCTTAGATGAAGATGTAATTTCCCACAGAACCTTTTGGTCAAGAAGCTGAGGGATGCAGCAACACTTCTGTATTAACCAAACCTTGGCCAAGAAGCTGAATGACATGAACTGGTGAGGTGAGCCTGGTGTAGCATGGGCTGTGTTTTTCCTTACTATTCACAGCATCTCATAAACAACAAGTAATTTTTTTCCCCTCTGATGTATTGCCCTGTTCAGTGCTAGGTCCAGCCAAAGTGGCAGTGTCTAACAAAAGGTGCTCCATCCTTCTGGTGAATGCTTGCCCAGAAGGCAAGCTCACCTGATACAGAGCAGGCACAGCTGCTCTTTCTGCTTTGGATAGACCAAGCGGCCAAGTTCCCTTCCAGCACAGCTGCTGCTGGGGAGAGGAAAGGATGAAGCTGCTCAGCTCTCTCTGACCCTAGGCCTCCTCTTATTCTATGAAAGGAATACTGTTCCCATAAAAAGCTGTATGAAGGAAAGACCATCATGAGGCCAAACCTACAAAAAAATACCTTCTTTGTAGACCTGCTCTCCTCTTCAGGCCCAGTGGGACTGGGTAGCCACAGCATGTTGGGTGCGATGCAAAGAGCCAGGTTAAAGGCATTCATCTGATTCACGCCCGAATTCTGCTCAATGTGATGCAGGACTCCAAAGAGGTGTCTGAGCAAAATGAAGTTGGCCTCTGGGAGCTGATTGACAAGACTGTGCAGAGAGAGGGAGCAAACCGAAATAGTGTTGTTCACAAAAATCTGGTCTTTGGATATCAGAAATTGCTTCCCAAAGCTTTTGCCCACTTCTGGCTTTTGTCATTCTCCTCCACCAACTTGGGAGCCACAAATTTACAACCATATGTAAATGGGATGTATTTATGTGGGAATGCACCCCAGACAATGCTCTTGCCCATGCTCCAGCTATAGAGATAACGGAGGAGGTTCAGAAATCCAGGTTCGAAAAGTGAGCTGAGCCATCTACAGGATGAGATTTATCCCAGTCAGCTTTGTTTTGTGCACATAAAAATTTTTGTAATTGTTAAAGATGTAAATCTCTTAATATCTGATGTACTCCTGGTGGCTGGATTACTGTGCCTTTTAAGTTTGCTGAAAAAAGGGTTCTGGTAATTTGAACTGGTCACCAGAAAATAATTTTCTAATGACTGTTTTTTTTTTCCAGAAATGTTAACAATGTTCGTAAAAGATTACTGAAAGGAAAATGTTCTGACCATGACACTAAAAAGCAGCTGGAGCTCTGCTGTGGCCTGGAGTCTCCCAGAACACGATGACTATGCTTAAGGCCACATACTTCCCCTTTTCCCACTGAGAGAAGCTTTTACAAAAGCTTTTACAAACCTTTTGATGGCTTCAATCTTATGTGCCCGATTTTCTGTATCCACAGCTTCCATCCACAGTCCGTGCATGTCTGAGGATAGAACACTGTCAGGTATATTTCGGAGAAAATCCTGAATTAAATATATATATGCAGAGCAGTCTGGTCAGTTTTTAATTTCTTGTGTTGGTTTCATGATGCATAAAGTCAGTGTTTATTCATATAAGCACAAGATAAAATGAGATATACACATACATTTCTCCTCCCCTCTCCGCTCTAATAAAACTTGTCATCTGCAGCACAGCAGAGTCTTGTCTGCATTTGTGCTGGAGGAGGGTGGACAGTCAACCCCCACGCCCTGCCCTTTCTTTGAACAGGGTTGTCCTCTCTACTATAACAGTAAACAACTAATATTTAAGCGTTACAGTCCTATTCTAAACATTTCTAGCAATGGATATTGTTGCTACTTTTCTCAGGGGACTGTTTAACAACTTAACATGTGACTTGTGTTGAAAAGTGCCTGAATATCTTCCCACTGAGCAGGTTGCTGTACTAGGCCAATAAGTGCAAGAAACAAGTATGTTTATTGATATTTCAGGTTAATGAATTGCTCTAGCCAGATTTAATTGCCAGGCCTCTCCTTATTAAAGCTTGGTTCTTATCCGAATTTCAAACAACCCCTCCATGTGGATTCGGGGGCAGTTTTCGCTCATACTTGCTGGCTGATGAGTGGGTAAAGGCTCAGCTTGCCTTTGCTCCTGGCTCTGCTGGAGGATGCAGGGCAGACACATGCAGATGGAGTCACACTCCTGTGGTGTCTCCCTGCAGCCTCCTCTCTGTCCAGAAAGGACAGCTCTGGTGCTGGCCCCATAAAGCTTCCTACCGAGGTGAGCACAGCACCTGAACTGTGGAGTCCAGACTCGGGCACGCTCTTTCGCACTGAGATAACCTATGAATGAATACCATGGTTATCTTGGAGGTTGGACATGACCACACTCTGTGGCCTTTGTACAGGAAGGTGCAAAATAAAACAGCGGCCTGAGGATGAATGCACACATCTGAATGTTAAAACAATCACCGTCAGGTCTGATGGACATAGATGGACCAAACCATCAGGAGGGAACATGCTTGGCTGGAAAATGTCTTGCTACCCCACAAACCTTCCCTCCCCATAAAGGCTCATGTTGCTTCCTTACTAACAGAAAGAAGTTGTGACTAGCCTGGACAGCTGAGTTACATGGCCACACATACCGTGATGACTGCTGCAGCCACGAAGACTGACTCTCCATCCACCTGGACATCATCGCCAGAGTTCAGTTTCTCTTTCAGTTCCTTGCAAGTCTTGGCATTGGCAGAGCGTCTGAAAATGCCCCTGGTAGAGGGACCTTCATGGTAAAGCAGGAGCAGCATATCCTAAGAAAAAGTCCAGTTATACTTAAAAGCTTAATGTTTTACCGTATCATTAGAGTGTATTATGACTCACATACTATAACACAATTTCAGATAAGGCTTATCAGGACGGAGCCAGAGACAAGAGTGATCTTATCCTGCCGCAAGTACCAGCTGAGGTCAGTTGATTCTTGTAGCTAGATAGCACTAGGCTACATAGCACTGACATTGCCCCTGTTAGGTTGTGATGACCTGTGTGGAGATGCCCACAGAAACAGGATGGACATCTGTGCAGGAAGTGATATAGATAATGCAGGAGGGGATGCAGGAAGGGATCTTTCACCCTTGCTGCTCAGCTAGATCTGAACCACAGGAAAATGCTGTTCTTATCCCTATCCAATCCTGTAAATACCACAAGTGACTTTAAATTCCTGACTAAACAGGTAGTACGCACAAAATTTATGCCAGGATGGGCTGCTGCTTACCATGATAGGCTTGGGAAGGATCCCATCAGGACAGACAGAGGAAAGAGACAGGCCGAAGAGTTTCCGTGGGGTGGTGGGTGACTGGGAAGGAGGGCTGCCTGTGGGTGTGCTGGTACTGCGGCGCAGGGCCCAGTCAATCAAGGACTTCTTTCTTTTGGTGTGTTTCTGCAATGACTCTGAAACAAAGCACAGACCTTTGTTACATGTGCTGCTCCTCCCTGCTGACCAGCAAGTGATCTACGGCTGCAGACAAGCCTCCTAGCAGGGCAAGGACTTGGCACACACCCAGGTGTGGGAGCCACTTGGTGCAAGCGTTTCACATAGGAGGACTTCCAAGTTGCCATGGGGAGCAGCAGTCTCTGTCTCATAAGACATTGCTTCAGCCCCTACCTCTCCTCAGCTGCATGGAAGCTTGGAGCCTGGGTTTCAGGACAAACTGGCACTGTTTTTCCTTCGGGAGCTGATCGAAGAGGGAAGCCTCTGTCCCATCAGCCAGCAAGATGTTATTGTCCGTTCCTTGTTGCTGGTTGGCAGAGTTTCGGAGACAGTTCAATGCGATGCTGAAAGGATGCTCGTGCCCTGTTGAGTAAAGAAGGGCATCAACGACCAGCAGAACTATCAAAAAGCAGCTCCAAACCTAGGCAGGGGAAGCAGCCACATCCGATGGCTCAGATAAAAAACAAGTATATGAAGTATATATTGTTATATATACAAGTATATATTGTTATACAAACAAGTATATGAAGCTATACCTGGCCAGCCACTCTTCTGTATGTAACATTATATTATATAAAATATATTACATAAAAAATCACCATTATTAGGGTTTGAGATCTATTTAAGAAAATACTGTAAGCATCGTTCAGCTCAGGAACTTCCCTACAGTAATGGTCTAGTCTGTGATGGATGGATACAGAAAATAATCATGTGCTAGAACCACTTGGAAAATATCACTGCCTACAAATAAATGTGCAGTGTAATGAGCCCCATAATAACAGTGTTCTTATGACAGCTTACTTGGAGCAAAATATCTTCAATAAACCAACATGCAGAAACTCCCTGTAAAGCATGGGGAAATATTTATTCAGCTGTTACTGAAAACACAATGTGGGATTAAAGCAGATTCCTTTTTTTTTTTTGGTATAACTAAGCACTTACTCTGCAGGACAAAATAGTCTGCGCAATTGCCAAACTATCGATCACCTGTCAGAGCTCCAAGCAGCAGATTCCATGCAGCAGTGGCTTTGGATTAAATGCTGGGTAGATCAGAGCTTACTTCTCTCTTCCCCCTGACTGGATCCTACAGGTGATTGTTTAGTGCAGATATGAGCTGCCTGTCGAGACCACTAGTGTTCCCTTGCTCTGATTCAGCAGAAAGGGCCTGAGGACAAGGGCCCTCGCTATCTTTTGGCTGGTTTCTGACAAACCTATAAACTCTCAAGAAAGCACCTAAAAAAAGAGCAAACCTAAAGCACTGTAAACATTCTCAGAAGAACTAAAGTGTTCCAAATTTCATAAAAAGTTCAAATAGGCCTTGGTTCATGGGGAAGAAGTTAGACAGCTCTTACCAATGAGAGGGTAAGCAGAGTCGTCTTTTCCGGAGATCACCCAGAGGTGGTGATCACTTGTTCTACCCTGGAGGGAGAAAGAGGAGAGAAAAATTAGGTCAAGGAAGCCAGGAAGAGGGTCCACAAGGCTGCACAGACAGGAAGCAATGGATAGGGCTAAGGGCTGAGTGGGCAAGGGACAGGAAGTATGTGGCCATCTCTGGGACGCAGTGCGGCTGGGAGGGACAGGCATGTGGCAGAAGGGGAAAGGTTCAGGAGTCAGAGGGATTAGAAGCTGGCAGGATGCAAACCCACACTAGGGTTTCCTGAATGTCCACCCGTGGGCGATAACTCAGGAAATCCCTTGACATGCTGAGCGAAGACCCAGCAGTGGAGTCCCCATGCTTGCTCAGGAACATCAGCATCCTTGTGAGGCACAATACCATCTTCCACCTCAACGGACCAATGCATTCAGCTACTGCTGTCAGGTCAGGCAAGGAATCTGCCTATTTGAATTCCTACCATCCCAAGTATTTCCTACGTCCCTTGCATGCTAAAGCACAGTCACAGTGCGTGATGTATTGACCTCATGTGTTCTGCAGGCTCCAGAAAGGTGAGAAAGATTCATCTTTCTCTGACTGGGGTTCTACGGAGTATGATGATCAGCCTTGTGTTAATAAAACTACACATGAGCATATGGCATAACAGAAGTGATTCTCTTAATGTATGGTGAGAATGAGGCTTCTCAGGACTATTTCAGCAATATTCCCAGCACTATTTCAGCCCTCCTTGGTATTAAACTACTGGGACACTATCAGTGCCTTCTCTTAAATACTGTGATTTATGGACCACTCTGGGTAAAGGGATTTAGGAATGAAAAAGGTTTGTCTGATAACACCACTGATTTACTCAGTTTCATTGCTACATTAATAATCCTTTGACAAACCCAGCTCAAGACTAATTTTGAGCACAAGTTTTGAACTCTTCTGAAATCCACAGGACTTCATTGCACAAGGGCTGGCTTTAATGCAGGATGGAAGCATGTGTAAATTTTTGTATCCATGTAAACAGATTGCTTCATTCAGCAGCCCAGAGAATATTAATGCCTTAAAGTTTAACTGGAGCAAATCTATGGTTCTTCACATCTGCAGTGTTCCATAAACCAGACATGGCCAGCTCTTAAGCGAAGGCCAGGTAGACTATACAATTGCCACTTACAGGAAGTCCAAGCTGCTCCAGTGTCTTCTTGATCACACTGTCTACAGTTTCCATGTTGGACACGTTGACTGTGATAGTCTAGAAATGAAAACAAAGAAAATAGAGGAAGCTGACTAAACCCAGGAATTTTCATTGCAATTTCTTGTAGCTCCAAAATTGGTGGGGGGAAATGTCCCTAATCTGTCTACAGACTGTCTTTATTAATTGTTGATGGTTAGAATAGTTGTGCCAATTCAATCTGCACTGGAATCATTATGCAGTGTGAAAACTCTTCCCAGCTATTTCTATCACTGGTTTGCTATAACATTCAAAGGCATCAGCCAGTGGGAATCACAGGAACTGAGTAGTGCTCAGATGTTGCATTTGATCACAGTGGTTAGTGACTGATCATTGTGCCCTTGTCACTCCAAAGGGCTCATCTCTGGCACTAAAAAATCAAGGGTGTTTGGGGCCTTTCTCTAATGGAAGATACACTAGGAGGAGAAGGTAACCCTCGAAGTTTGGCATGAAGCCTAGAAACATATGCTTAGGAAATGAAGAGACAGGAGCACATTGCAGCATATGAATGCAGGAGAACACGCTTGTGGCTCTTTCATGATCAGCACCCCCAGTTTATGACATTGAAAATGGGAATTGCTGGGCATCCAACCACAAACCATCATTATTATGAAATAAAGCAGAAGAAAAATAAGGAAGAAGCCAGAGGCCAAGAATAATCTTAAGAATTAACTGTTCTTTGCTAAGGGTCTGACTATCTCCCAGTTTCCTCTGACTGAGTTTCCAGCAGGAAGCATGCAGCTGCACACTCTCCAAAACCTTTGCAGGTGGGAGATGTGTTTTAAACAGGGATAGCATCAGCAGCATCACAATGCTATCTGCCTTCCCCTACCTCACAGATCTCCATGTATTATTGGTCTGACGAACAGTTTCCTAGTTTTACTTACAGAGGAGCAGCTATCAGCATCCAGCACAAGGATCTGAAGGGCCAGAGTCTTCAGGTCTTCATTCTGTTTTGTCTCACTGATATGCCTGAAAGGAAAGCGGAGGAATAAAATTTGCCAAGAGAACTCAAGTACAACCTTAAGTTTTGGATCCAAGAGGTCTGAGTGACCTGCTCCTTGGCACTATAATACTAAGGATTAATTATGTCAGCAATAATAACATGCAAAGTTCACAGTGTGGTCATACACTCTTACTGGCTTATTTTTCTTTGAGGCCCCAGAAAAGAAAAGAAAAGAAAAGAAACAAACAACCCACATGGCAATACTTTAATACAGATGTCTCTAGTGTAACAGCTTCCAGTAGTCTTATGGTAATGTTCTCCACAAAACAGGAGACAATTTATTCCCCTCTCTGTACCTATACACTTCTGCCTGGATGTAACTGGAAACAACACTCAAAATCATAATATTAGAAAAACAAAACAAAACAAAACAAAAACGGAGTCTCTAGATGCCATGAAATACAAACTTTTGATCAAAGCAAAAATCATCTGAAGAATCAACATAATTTGTGATATTTCCATAGTGATTAGCAAAGCCAACATCTAGCTCCAAAGAAAACAAAAGCAAAACAAAACAAAACCCAAATGTGCTCCAAAAATGTTATCTTCTAGTGGATTTAATCTTTTCTGGACTGTCAAAACCGATTTTGTTTTCACCAAGGGTTTCTACATCCAATTTTCAAATGGTAGCCAGGCACTTAGTGTCCTGAAAATCAGAAGTGTTTTGATATCTGGCATCTTATATTTCTTCTGAGGGCTGCAGAAGAGCCACCCAGAATAATGATGATGGAGTGTCACTTACCAGAGTAATGTGGAGAGCCACTGCTCCTTCACGTTGGCTGAGCTGAAGATAAAGAAAGAGGCAGATCATCAAAACAATGCTGAGTGGTTCATGGTCTCTGGAAACTTTACCTAGTTTCACTTATATATAGCTGTAAGTCAAAGTTCCTTCCTGCAAAGCCCAGGAACAAAAGCACAGTCTTTTCCTGGTTCTGTTCTATTTTAACGAATAACAACAATCATCATCATAAAAAATCCCAGCAACAAACTGAACTACATTTCCTGCCTTGGCTGACAAGTGTTCAGATAAGAAATGAAAATCTTTGTGATGCTGGAGGTAACTCATCTTGTGGGTCTTTAATATTTTTGCAATGACCTTTAATTACTATTTTTTCTACTGCTATTTCCTTTCCAGCATCTGCAGTTCCTAGAAGCTTCAGCCACCAGCTTAGGCTGCTCAGGTCTCAGCAACATGAAGGAAATGGGGATGCTGTTGGGTTTGGAGTGAAACACAAACGCCTGCTTATGTGTGAGAGCATGAGCCCCAAGGCCAGAATCAGTGACACAGGGTGGATTAGCCAGGATTTTGAAGATGAGACAGCAAGTGTGAAATGATAGTGATTCCCATTTCCTTTATAAGGAGGCAGCTGCCTCAAGAAAGCAGCAGGAGCTGCCCAGACCAGCCCCACTGTCCAGCCATAGCAGGGGGACAGAAGGACCCCAATAAGTGATGGCTTCACTGCTTGACAAAGCAGAGGATAGAGCAGATGCCTGAGCTGGTGGAGACCTGAGTCTCCAGGCACAGCACTGGATTAGCCTTTTTAATGGCATTTGGACATCGTCTGGCTATTCTAGTCTGTCCCAAGGTCCTTCACTTTTCTATCTGGGGAGTTAGCAGGGACATAGCAAGTTCTGGGCTGTGCTGCTTGTGTAGGCCCATGCTAAAGGGCCATCTTTATGAGTTGTTGCTGTGGGTTTGGGACAGCCTGGCAGACAATTGCAAAAAGAAGGTTTGCCCAGGGCACGCTAGTGATGGATAAAGACTTTAATTCTGGCACAGGCTACCTGGCAAATCTCACTGGCATGGGCATGACTAACCTATTCTTCACACTGACCTGGCACAGGCCACCTGGAAAATCTCACTGGCATGACTAACCTATTCTTCACACTGAAAAATTTTCAGTCTAGGGCTAATCTTGTAGAGAAGTGGCTGCTGGCAGTTGCTGAAACAACATACTTGCAGGTTACATAATGGCCCAGCTGGCTTCTGTGGCAGATTTGGATGTGCTGCTCCAAGATGCTCTGCAGGATCAGTCCTCACTAGGACGAGGCTCGGCCCTCACACTTAAAAGGTTCTCAGGGGACAACCTGCAAGTTTAATTCTAACAGGACTGCCTTCCAAGATCTAACTTCCCTTCACTGCTAAATGTTAGTAGAAGTCCTATACTCAATGGGATAGTGAGTATAGTAGGGTGCAGTCCCTACACCCTCAGTCATCTCTTGGCTTGAACGAGGACTTGGGCAGCTCCTGGGCTGCAAATGGAGGACTCGGGTCTAATGTGATACCTGAAGGTGACAACATAATTGGTGGTAGGCCAGCCGATGACAAACGAATTCTCGGGACTCATCTTTTTCTCTGTCACTTCGCTGAGGCAGGGGCTGGTCCATACTTCACTCAGGCGCACCTGCTTTTTCAGCTTCAAGCTGGAGGAGGATCTGCAATTCAAATCATGGATTTCTTAGTTCATATCCTAACATCTAGACCTCCACAGTCTGGTCACACTATCCTCTAGTCCTGCAGATACAGCAACAGCCCCAAAGTGAAATGCATCGGCATGTGCAGGCACTACCAGAAGGGTCTGCAAGCTGATTTGGGGTTGGTGGCTGAGGCAGGACAGCTGTGGCTTATAGCAGTGTGGCTCATGAGTGCCACGGGCAGGCAGAGGGTGGCTCAGACTAGCCACCAGCTATGCTGTCTTTCTAATAATTGAAGCTACCCAAGCTGCTCACTTAGGTATTACATGAAACGCTGGCAGAAGAGACCAGAGCAGGAATCAGTTGTCTGCACTTGCTGCCTCCTGCCCTCATGCTGTTTCTTGAAGAAGACAGTTAAGTAAAAGGGTAAAATGACTTAGACAACAATTCCCTTCAGGAAAATATTGTGGGGCTTTAATACCAAGAGGTATTTCTGGAGATGGAAATGAGAGGATGCCACATTTTATGGACAAGCTTGGAAAGAAGGGTGGTTGTGATGCCTGCTCCACAAATAGCTCAGCGTCCAGCCTCAGCTGGAGGGACTGGGAGGACGAATGAGAGTGAATGCCTCTTACTTGGACTTGGCGACGATGAGCGCATCGCTGAACAGGATCAGGTGTCTCTCCTGAGTCTGCAGGCCCACGGTTAGCTGCACTCGCTCATCCAGGATGAAAGCGGAGCCTGGGCTGCTGCTCAAGCCGCTCGGGAGCCCATTGTCCGAGTGGGAGGAGGAGAGGGCGACTTCCCTGTGGGAGGAGAAGAAACCACAAGACTGTCAGAAATCCTTTCCCATACAGTTTGTGCTAAGTGGTGTCCTGGTGCAGTCTGACCACCTAGCACCTCTCCAAGTGCTGACCCAGCTACAAACTGCACTGCAGCCTCTGTTCGATTAACTCCATCTGCCTCAAGTCAATGTGAACACCTACACCAAGGCTGGAGGGATGAGGCTGCTCAAATCTTCATTTCTGAGCCATTCTCACTCAAGCAAAGTACTTATCCTCTGCACAGGTGTACAAGCTGTGATTCAAAAAAGATGTAAAATGACCAGGATCCCTCGCTGGTGGCACCATGCAACACGGAGTGGCAAGGGGACGCATGGCTTTTGCATCTTGACTCGCGTCTGCTATGTGCTCTGAACCGCACAGGGCTGTGGCACAGAGAAGGGCTCTGCAGATCCCAGCATCCCGTTCTGGGTCACCTGGCTGGGATCCAGTGACTCGGGTTTCTTCTGAGACTGATTCACGTGCTGGCCACGGCTGTTGCACTTTGTCTGAAGTCAGCAAGCAGTCCCAGACAGGTCCCCTCCTCATCTGGGACAGCCACTGGTCCCCCTGCCTCCTGTGGTGCCCTGCAGCAGCAGGTCCAGAAATCCCCTCTTCCTCTGCACCACCAGCGCTGCACCGCAGGCCCCGCTGCAGGGGATCGCCCAGGGCTGGGGAGCTGCGCAGCTCGTGTGCACAGCAGCCAACAGCAAAAACCTTCCCTGGGCTCTGGGCGCCTGAGCAAAGATGGCATGAAACCAGCTTCCGCCACAGCAATCCAAATCCATCAAAAGAGGCACTTGGAACTCCCCTCCTTCATAGGGATGTTCTCTGGCCAAATAAAGTCAAAAATTTTTTTTTTTTTTTTTTTTTGTGCAAACTGGATGCAGGGAAGAATGACAAGGGCTACATCACTTGGCTGGGAGAAAACTGAATGAAAGAATGAAAGTAAGCTCTGCTCTTTCTTCACCTATGAGACTGGGTCCTGCAGGGATGATCCACAAAACAGGACGCACCCTGGCACCTGCAACAATTCCCTACGGAGAATGAAAAGGGGATGGTCGTGGCCAAAATGTTAATCCATTGAACCAGCTTTTCCCACCGAGGTCACCACTGAGCCCATTCACAGAAGCTGGCAGTGAGGGAAATCTGCTATCATTTGTCAGGAGACCTGGAACTCCCAAAGCAGGACAAGGTCCTGGTGGTTCTCCCACCAAAGGACCAGAACCGATGCTGTGCTACATGGCTCTAAGGGAGAGCTGACAGGCTCCCTGGTGTCCCCAGTGTTGCTCCCAGGGGTCTGTGTCTGGGGAGACAGCTGTAAAAAGCCCATCGTTCCCACTGTGTTTCCTGCCGGCACCGTCATGCTGGGGTGAAACAGCCAGATGCTCACTGGGGATGGAGGCAGCGTTAAATCTCAATCTGCCTTGTTGCAGGCAGAGCACAGGGGATGGGTCTGACTCTGCTCCTGCCACAGAGGTGACGCGGGCAGAGCCCAGGCAGGGCTACACAGGGCTGTTCTCCACCTCAGTCCTCTCCCAGCCCTGTTCCTCACTACAGCCGCGTGCTGCTGGCACCGCTGCCCAAGCACACAGCAGCCCTTCACTCTGCACTGGCCATCTCTTTCCACAGTTTGTTTCTGTCTCCCTTTCCTCTGACATCAGCTGTTTCATTCTTAGGGCACCTCTGTTTCTGTTTCTCATACCACTGTCCATTGCTGGTGAGATGGTAGACTAAACAGTGATGAATCCATCAGCTAAACGTTCATTGACTGCCCAGCCAGAGTGCCTCAAGGAAGCATCCAGCAGAGGAGCTGGACACAGCTATTTCTGCTCTTTACAGGCATAGGGGATGGAGATATATTTAAAAGAAAGTTTCTTATTCTTTTCAGGAGGCACAGCTTCCCAAACGGCTAAACAGCATGCATTTGTAAAGACGATGACAAGTGTCCAGTCACTGTGTCTCAGGAGAGAAGTGTCCTGTGTGCAGCCAGCAGGCACAGAGCTCACCTTCGCTACGGCTTTTTTCCCATATGGGTGAGATTTTCTTATCTCTGCTGCAAAGAAAGCCCCGAGTAGCTTCACAGAGCTCACTGGAGTTATTCTGGCTTACATTTCTGTAATGGAGATTAAGGTCTAGCACTGTGCTTTCTCTGTGACGCATTTTTAAAGCATGTTCCAGCAAACCAGAAAATATTCCTTACCTGTCCACACAAAAATTCTCCTAGATATTTTGAACTCAAGAAGAAAAGCAATTGGAGTTTGGTCTGTACATGCAGAAAGACAAAAATAAGGGGTCAAAAAGATATCTCCTCTACCTGGGATGACATCTGGACTTGCTGAGAGCTTTAGTAATGGCAGAAGGGGCTGATCGTCTTCTTTGGACTATGGGCTTCATTTTCTGTAAGAGAAAAGCACACTCCCATTAGCACAGCCACCCAGATGCAGCCGTGCTCGCTGCGCTCTGCACGTTTCTGTCTCACCTCTTAGCACACCCTGACCCTCGGTGCCGCGTGTCCCGCTCCGTGCTCACAGGGCACTTCCTTCCCTTCCCTACCGCTGCAGCGCTCGTTGGCCCTCACACTGAGCGAGATGCTCCAGACTTTCCTACCTGGAAATGCTTCCCCTTTTCACAGCCAAATCCCAAAGCCAAGGCATGAGACTGAGCAGGAAAAAAGCTCAGGCTGAAGGTCAGGAAAAATTTCCTAACACTCCTGTCTCATAGACAGTGGAACAGTCTGCTAAGGACGGGCATGGAAATCCCATTTAAAACCAGATTCAACTAAGTTATGGGCAGCACTTAACACTGCAGGAGCAGTACTTTATAGGCTAAAGCAATGGATGAAATTACCTAATAGGTTTCTCTCCATCTTTAATTTCCATGACTTACAGATTCAGAAAACAGACTACTATTAAACCCCTCTCCAGGTTATGTAACCTCAAGACACTCATCTTTTTTTCTAACGGTCTTCATGACAGTCCCGTGCAATGCACAGATGAGGTGACTTAATGCCGAGACATGGTAAGCACACAAGTCAACATATACACACGAAGGTCACAGGTCTCCTTTTGTTTACTAAATTAATTTTGTGCTGGAGAAAAATGACAGATTTCACCCCAGAGGACAGATCCCTAAAGGAAGACATCATGCTAAGTAACCATGGGATGATCTGTTTTATAGCTCATTTCTAGTTTCAGCATGTGCCTGTCAGAGCTTTAAGAGGAGAAAAGGCGAGAGTATGCCATGAACTACCAACCTCTCAACCTCTGAACATACTGAAATATGGTGGATTGTAAGAATGAGAAAAAGTTCTTTTTATTAATTGTTGACTATTCAGACTCTGCTGAGTGCAAAATATGCTCGTTGCATGTGAGCATATCTCTGCGTATATTATGTTATTACAGCTCAGTACCTTAAATATTTACCATGTTATTATGACATTCTTACAATGTTGGAGGAAGGTGTCATCCCCATTCCCGGACACAAAGCCCAGGAACAACGATGATGATCACGGTGAACATGAGTGTTCAACCACTGGATTTGGAGTATCTGAGCAGACAGAGGTGCTGTTTGAAGGACGGTTCCTACTCTCTTCTGCTGGAGCTGGAGGGACTCTCCATTGCTATAAATCTGCCTCCATGGGTTTATGCCACAGGGATCCAGAAAACTAAGAGCAGGTCATTAGTGACCATCTGAAAAGTTGATGGAAGTGATTTACCAGGCCTTGGGAAGGAAACTGTGGAAGAGGTGGGTGAGAATCCAGCTGCCAGGGAGGCACCACACATTCTTAGTCATGTCCTGTCTCCTCTACCGAACACCTCTGGCTTCTGCAACTATGGTCCAGAGACTCCCATGGGCAAGAGCCGGCCATACCACTGCCCCTGAGTCATCTCTGGATCAGGTCTGTCTGCACAACGAAACACAGACGACCTTGTGAAAAAGAGCACGAGAAAATAACTCAAAGTTGAGTGAGGTCACAGGAACAACCTAATAAGTCATTTCCGAGCCTGAGTACTCAGATTTGCAATACCAGGAATATTCTTCTAAGCAGTTTCCTTGCGTACGTGCAGACATGCAGACTGGGAGGCAGACGGTAGCAATGTCTCCCTCATTCTATGATCTGACCTTGCCAGGCAAAGAGTTCATCTTTGGGTGTTTCTCAGAGAGAGCAAAATAAAAATAACACCATCTCAAAAATGTCTGTTTCAGAAAAGATGAGTCCATAGTGAGCGGGAACATCCAGCTTTAGTGCCTTAGTGGGACACAACATCCTTGTGACACATGGCACAGGCAAGCAGTGTCATGCAGTACCTTGGGGACAGAAGCAGGTGGGAAACCCTGGGCCAGCACCAGCTGCAAAGGCCACCAGAAACAGCTCGTGGGCACGCAGAGACCTGTAGCAGCAATGGGCTGTGGCACTGTGGGATCACCCTGTGGCACTGCAAAAATCCTTGGGATGAAGTTGGATTAAGATCCTTGGGCACGTAAAAATCTTCCTGTAAGGAAAGGAACCATTTCCTCTGCTGTACAACTAGGTCAGGAACACCAACCACATACGTAATGTGAGTGTCCTGTGGAAAGTCATTTACCCAGGACAAACATCAGGGAAAAATAGCAAAGTCAGGATTTCATAGCCCAGATGATAGAGAAAAAAGTTCTGGTGAGTATTTTCTTCTATAGAGCCTTGGATTTCCTGCAAAAAGCTGTGATTGAGTGTGGCGAGTAACTTGTGCCTTCAATCTCCAATTAAAACACTGAGATTACCTCTTGCATGGAGGTCCCACTGACTGATTCAAAATAGACTTCAGACAAATTAGGAAATATCCTCCCAAGTCCTCAGCCAATCACACCACCAGTCAATTAATTACTAACGGACATGAGATGATTGTAGAGATCACTTTTCCAACAGCCTGAAGTATCTCATTGCACTGGCCCTGGCAGAGGTTGTCATCAGCTAGACTGGAGGCACCGGCCCTTCACACAAC